GGAAAACCTCATCCACCCAATTTTCCAGAGGTGGAAACAATTTGTAGAGTTGCACCACCGACTCCAAGAGGTGCGTCTGGATGATGGCCGGATTTGGCGGTACTACCTTTTATCTAACCCAGCAGAGAGCACCAAACTGGGGAGGTGCAGCAGATGATCAGGGTCTGCACTGGAGGTAAGGAAGGATGACTAACAAGGTTAAATTATAACTGCTTTTTTAAAAAGCCATCAAAAAAACCTCAAACTAAATTCAATACCTCGTTCCTATGCATTAAAGAGACATTATGTATGTTTTTAATGAAAAATATTTATTTGACCCTCAGTAGTTCAGCTCTGATGCTAAGTGTATCCATGTTAAATTGGTACGAACCAGCAAACTATCGAACCGTTATATTCAAGATGGATATTGCGGATACTCAGAAGCGTCTGGTGTCAAGCTCAACTCAGACACCAACGGTACCTCTAGGTAAGCTGAAAAAAGGTAAAAGACAAAAAAACAAAACTTTGCTAAGTATGAGCGCGAGATACTAGAAAGAGAAGAAGATTGCTGCAGTTCTGTGTTTAGGCCACAGGTGGCAGTATCACTAAAAAAAACCTTAATACCTCTTTAACAAATAATATAATGTCATAGATGCTCTCCTCGAGCTCAATGGAACTCAGAACACAGCAAGATGGGAGGAAGCGTGGAAGCTTTAGGCGTCTGGAACAGAAAAGAGCCAGTTACGAAGGATGTGGAATTTTGTGGGTAAGATAATTACAATAGGAGGATCCTGTATAAAAAAAGCTTTGATTTAAAATAATTACTCTTTCGAAGTAAACGTGTGAAGGAGATTACAGTTTTTTATTTAATCATATCTGACTCGGTTTTAATCAAATGCAGGTTGGATGAGCTTGAAACTGAATCAACCTTATCAAGTAAAGAATGTATTTCACATTCTAAAAGAGAACAGAGCCTGCGACTCTCTGAGAACATCCCTCATATTCTACAGGGGAGAGGACTAATTTGAGCCAGAGTTGCTGAGCCCACCAGAGACGCTGTGTGAACCGTTCCACTCTGGGGTCATGACTGAACATCCATCAGAGACACAGACTGCGAACCTTTCTCTCTACTGTAGGTCACCTGGGTTTCAGCACAAACCAAAAAAAACAACTTTATTCTGAATAAATCATACAGTAATTTACAGCATTTTAAGTCCACCTCTAACCGTGCTAAATGAAGTAATTAAAAAATAATTATATTAATGGTCTATGAATCCTGAAAGAAAATGTAAGTTTTTTTTCAAACTGAGGTAAAATATATTGATCACAGAAAGATGTTCTTCTTTGAAGATTCTAAGTAACTTTATTATTGGAATCAGCGTATATAATATGCGTATATATATGCTGTTAAAAATCAAATATAAATGAGAACTGATAGAATGAACTTTAGGATTCTGCATTAAAAGGTCAGAGGGACAT